TGGTATGCTCAGTATATTCTATAAATTAGACTGAGTGGCAAAGTATTAACACAATTAAGAATTTGCATTTCCACACAGTGTACCGCCCTCTCTGTAGCCGCCCACTGATATCTGACCGTCGTTAATCTGAAGGTGCCCAGACTCTCCTCACCCCTTGTTGTATGTATGTGACTGGCTCTACTGTTCATGTGAAGAAAACGTAAGCTGTTTTTGTCAAACCTGTCCGTGTGGCTGAAATTAATCTTCGACACTGTCATGGCAACATTCATTGTCCTGTCTCCGTCAGTGTAGTCCCATTATGGTGTCCAATTAATATGGACATTAAGTTCCTCCACACAAAGACCTCAGAGCTGATGTCCTCCGACTATTATACTCCCCAGACATGTTATTAATAAAGAACCCCGGCCTCACTCACCACTCACCGGTATGTTCTGTAACACAGCTGGTCACATGGTCACTGTTCACAACACAATATTTTGTCTTTTATTCCAAAACCGAGAGACACGTCAAAGCTGCTCCACAAACAGATTAACTCCAGACTTTGTCACCAAAGACGTTTTTTTTTGTGTGAATGCTTTATTCAAGAAATGAAAACTTATTTTTTTCTTTAATATCACATTGTGCACTTTAATCCAAAGGATTTAGAATATATCAGCCTGTTCTCCTGTGGTTGTAAAATATTACTTTGGATGTGTGCGCGCTGCCAGAGAAACAAGGGACAATAGACACTTGATAACGGATGAATGCAGTACAACAGACAGCAGATAAGTTCAGTGCAGCTTAAAAACAATATAGCAAATGGAACAGAATAAATCTGCTAAAACTCGAGGCTTCATTTGAATTCAACAGTTTAACTTCCTGTGGGAAAAAAAAAGAAAAAAAGACATTGTCATTGTTCCTTCCTTCCTGCAGGACCTGAAGCACCAGGGAACAGGTTGCACTTGTGAATGTTTATTTTCTGAATCTGTTTAATGGTGGCCTGTTCTATATCGGTGGTGGGGGCGAGCGATCTCCTCCCACCGTGTGCCCAGTCCATCATCATCTTTGTCCCTCACCATAATCTGAATGGCAGTAAATGAACTCCCCTCCTCCCCTCTGCCTGCTGCACATAATGACTGTATTTCTCTTTCGAACTTTACTTCATATCTGCAGCAGCACCAGTGTGACATAACATATTAGTTCTTCTCATGTTTATAGGGCACCAACACATGGACTGCCTAGTACAATGTTATCTTTAATTTTCTTCTGCAGCCGGGGTAAACTTTAAATAACCAATTCAGTCTGCAACAAATTTGTTTAGTCTCTGAAAATAATAGTTTGCACTCTATGATGCATAATGCATTCTTCCTAAAAAAAAAAATCAATCTTATTTACCATCCACACAGGGCAAATAAAGCACCGTGGTTCATTAAGCGGATCATTCTGCTCAAATCTCAGTATTTGCCGCAAAGGGATGGGAGAACCACATTCATTAGTCTTGTTTTTGTTTGTGTACGTGAGACGCGCTAAAGGGCCAACAAGAAGCATAAATATGCATGATTCCACGCACATGCACTTCAGATTGACAAGGGGAAATAAGAAAAGTCTTCGTGGTGGTGGGAGGCAACCTCCAATTTCCTCTCTCGGTGTTTTGCTTGGCAAGTGTAACAATCAGTTAGAAACAAAGGTGCGGTGCAGGGAAAATGTGGTGCTTAAGTGCGGGTCTGAAAGGCCGGTGGTATGTAGCTATTTGAAGAACAGCTGGGATCATTCATGAGCTGTCTGTCAGCCAGTCAGACTGCCTGCTGAGGCCTCCGTTTCTTTCAGACTCGCACGTTACAATACTGATTCATTGTTCTGAACTCTATTTTCCCCACTGCGAAGTCACAGCATGTTATTAATTTGGTTTCCCGTCACAGGGCTCCAGCATGGCATCAACACGAAATCGGAAGAAAACATGGAGAATTGTGTTTTCCCGCGGTAGTGATGACGGAGGTCAAAGGAAGTGACCTACTGTAGCAGTAACAGTGTAGGTGTGAGTGGTGGATACAGTCAGACTGCAGGTATAAGACCATGTTGTCATTTTTCTTTGAGGTTGCAGAATAAATGTTTACAACGGTCTTTTTATAGGCAGTGCTTTTATGGAGATGACAGTGTTTAACAAATTACAAGCTGGAATTCAAAGCGTTGACTGCAGAAAAGGGAGCAGCAGTAGGAGGCAGTGGTTGTCGGGTGAAGAAATGAGAAGGAGGATTCCAGAAAAGGGAAAAGCAGTCAAGAAACAAGTCTGAAACGAATTGTCTGAGGAGGCAGTGAGTGAGAAAGGTGTAGGGGAGAAAGAGAAAATAGAATAAAATCTGAGGGAAATTCAAAGTGGGACAAGAAAGCAGATGGCAGGAGAGAGCTGCAGGAAAGTTAGTGATGAAAGTAACTCTCTGATCCGAGAAGAAAGAATCTGGAAAAAGTCACAATCAAGGATAAAGAAACGTCAACAATGAGCATCTGCTTCACACAAACAGTGTCGAGGAGTTCACACAAGCGGCATTAGTCTGAACACAAGGCAACATTTGTCGTCTAATGCGATAGAAACTGAAAATATTTCTTGGACTAATAAGGCTCGGTGGATTCTGCTCATGCTGGGGTTGTGGTACAACTTGAAATGATGAGGCAAAACCCAAGATTAAAAAAAGCTTCAGTATTTTTGCTTCGTCTGTGAAAAGTGAGTCGGCCTGAAATTGATTTTAAACTCTGCCTCTTTTGCCTGGCTGTTGCAGGGTCGCTTCATTAGCAGGTTTGTTTAACGTCAGGCAGCTGGTTAAAGGCACACAAAAATATGATGTTAAAAAGCACAACACCGTTCAATTTTTTACTCTCTCTACAGTCTTGGTTCACGGGGGTCAAACTCATCATCACCCGGGACCACATCAGAAACACTGTTACCATCGAAGGGCCGGTCGTAACTGGAAGACTGTATAAATGTCACAACTTCAAAAACATATTATTATATGTTTCTGCAAGAGATTGTTCATTCAAGTTAAAAATATTATACATTGATCTGTGTAATGAAAGAAAACTGAGTTTTTCTCTCATCGTCATGAAATGCATTGTTTTAGTTGCAGTTTCTGATCATTTTACGCTCCGAAGCAGCATAGACTGTGTTATAAGGCAATTAAGCACTTTTGTTTAACTGCCACACTTAGAGTGGGCCACACTTAGAGTGGGCCACACTTAGAGTGGGCCACACTTAGAGGGCTACATTTGGCCTGCGGGCCTTGAGTTTGGCACATGGTCCAAGTGTATGAAACGTTAACAGTGCGTTGTAAAATCTGTCTGCTCCATAGCTTTTTCGTTGGACCTGAAATGTCTTATATTCTGATAAATCATTTGACTCGGTTCTAAATACATAATAAAACCATGACTCAGTTTACAAACAACACAGCACGCACTTCCTCATCTCATCATAGTCTATGTGATCTCAGTGTCGTGAATTAAGCTGAGAAAGAAAGCCTGACAGCAGGTGGGCTCACCTCCACTGACACATCAGCATTTTCTCATCTAGTCCAAGGTCACGTTGTAACATTAATGTGAAATTCTTACATTCTTACGAACATTCTGTTTGGTTTTCTGTTGAAAGGTGGATTAAGTCAATTTTTCATTTTTACATTAGAAAGGAAAAACATTCACAAAAAAAAAAAGAAAATGTCCCTTATTAATTTTTTTAAATGTTAACACCAATGAAATATTCAATAGCTTGGCTTCACATCTATTAAATAGAATCAAAAGAAGGAAAAAACAACAACAACTAAGCATTTCAAATTCTGTTTGTGCAGAAATAAGAAATGTCATTTCCTCGTTGGATGCTCAGTTTATGCCAAATCCTGATCTAAAAAAAAACAACAACAACAACTTGTAGACTGAATTAAAGTGAAGTAAAAAACTGCACATCGTGGTTTTACATTGTGTTAAAGAAGTGTAAATACATGAACGAATGGATCAGTAGAGTGTATGTGAATACAGTGATTTTGATGTGATAAAAATAAAATGTCTTTCCTGTATATACATATTTATAACTTAATAAATATTATAATGTTTTTTTTTTCTACTACAGTAAATGAGTTGTTGCTGTTGGTGTGTGAGTGTGTGCATTCGATGGTTTTGTAAGTAAGATTATTGTTGTTATATTTTAATAATATAAAGAAGAATTAATTTACCTCACACAGTAACCTGGGAAAACAAAAACGATTGAATTGTTGAAAACTGTGTGAGATGAAAAAACTGCCTTTGCCCCGGTCATCAGGATTTTTTTAGACTTAGAACTGACTGGACAGAATTGATGTAGACATGTGTCTGCAGTTTTTCTTCATCAGAAGCAGTTTTAAAAAAGCACAAATTATTTAATTAGGTTCTTTAGTTTCATTGTACTGTAGTATGTAGCGATTAAAAACACAAACAGAACGAGAAATGTCCTTTCAGACGCTGGGAGGAAAAAATGTACCAGAACCAAATGACTATTTGCTACGAGCTACATATGTTAAACAGTTCTATTGTCTGATTATAAATACATTATCAACAGCACTTCAGAGAACATTGATTTAAAGCTTGAACCAATACTATTTTGTACAAAGTACGTCATCAAAAATGTACGCTCACGCAGTGCACCTTCAGTGCCGTTGAGTTCCATGAATGCCAGTTACAACAGCATAGTAAAGTTGTAATGGAGGGTAAGGGTTCATGTAGAAATACTGCAGGGCACTTTGCCTTTCTCTCACACCTTGTGCTCGCTGAGAACAATTTATTTTCCCCAGAATTTGTTGTGAGCTGAATAAAGATTGCATGTGAACCTTCTACAGTGCAGCCTGTTCTCTCCTGGAGCAGCGTCTCCACACACCCATTAAAACAGAATTATTTATTTAATGCTGTTTGAAACAGGTGAAAATAAACATGGAGGTTTTGCCTCTGTTCTCTGCTCTTGTCTGCACTGTGTAAGACTTGACGACAACTTCTGTTTCTCCTCATCACAGGTTTCATCCATACATGTGGAGGCACTTTAAAAGGGAGGAATGGGACGATAGAAAGCCCCGGGTTTCCATATGGATATCCAAATGGAGCGAACTGCACCTGGGTAATTGTTGCCGATGAGGGCAACAGAATTCATATAGTTTTTCAATCTTTCGCTGTGGAGGAGGAATATGACTTTTTATCTTTGTACGATGGACATCCACACCCAGCTAACTTCAGGACGAGGTAAGACTCAATACACTGACCTGCTGTCAGTCATACAGTATATATGGATGGAAAGAGTTAAATAATTTCATAATGTACTCATTATATTTTCATCTGAGTTCGTGACTCTACAGAGTTCCACTACTGATGTTTCTTTAGGTCGGGTTTTAATAAAAATGCAGTCAACTGGAAGCTGGTGTTTTATAGGCTGCGAAGCTCTGTTAAAAATGGGCCGAGGTGGAGTGTGTGGTGTGTACACCACAGTGATGACTTATTGTATTCCCTTCTCAGTAACAGATGGTTATTTCAGTTAAAACAACAACCAACATTTCTGTATTAAACAGATTTGTTAAAACTGTCGTAGTGTTAGACAACAGCTCAATAAAACTAAGAAAAGTCAATGGAATTGGTGAATGAAATTCCAACTAAAACAGACTCTTAAACTCTGTAGCACTATTTTCATGTATTTAGCAAATAAACACACAATGTTGATTAAATAGGTGTCAACAAAAAAGTGATTTGATGAGGTTTACGTCTGTCTTTGCTCTTGATGTTGAAATACCTCCAAACTGCTAAAATACAGGAGGAAAATGTGCAACGTTGGATGAACAGTGAGCAGTGGGTAGAATACTGGTAGAAGGACACCAATAGTGTTTGATATTATTGTTTGTTAGATTCAACACGAGATGATTATATTTCATGCGGTGAGAAAAAGTCCCCGTGTGTTTCTGTGTTGTTCTGCAGTGATGAGTGGATCAGCTCAGTAATCACCTTACTTTATCCAAACTCTGCACTGTAGGAGGCAGCAGTAGAGAACGTCATTAAACACAGGGATTTCACCTTGTTTACTTAATTCACTAAAAAGCCAAATAAATGTTTACCCTAAGGCGCTTCTGCGTGCTTACCAAGTCTGACATTTAGGGTGCCGCAAAAAGGAGATTCACACACAGTCACATGACCTGGTTCCGTAGAGTTGTATTATTTGGATGCATAATGAGGCTTTGGAAAAAGCTGTGAAAACAATTGTGTAACAGTTTTTCCTGACAAACCCCGGGTGTGATTATAACAATCAACATTATTTATTCTGTAAATAACGTACACGTTTCATGATTGTTCAACAATAAGCAAGTTATAATAAGTAAGTTGTATTGTCTGTGATCTTGACGACATTCCAGTACCTGTAGTTGAGTGAAAAAAAGGCAGTGTCACCTCTGTCCCTCAGCCTCGGCCAAAGTGGGCCCAGGGCACTTTCTATTATGATGGCAAAGTGTGGGAATAATTCAAGAGTTGAATCACTGTTGATACTTGAGCAAATGAGTCATTTTTAGATACTTAAAAAGATTTTGTTGCATAATTCTGTTTTTCCAAGGTTCGACTCTAGGGAAATTTTCATCTGTACGCAGGATCCCTGAACACAAGTACGGTGTGTTTTAACACTCAACAGTTCCAGTTATAATAAGTTAAAAGTTGGGTTCAGCTGTTTGCAGGGAGAGCTCTGTGTGTAGTTCATTTTGCTCCAGTCTTTGGGATCCACACTTTTGTTAAATATAATTTTAACCTTGTAAAACCATACTTAGAACTTAGGCCAGAGCCTTTACCACGAGAGCAAATATTACATTTATGAACCAAGTGAAAGGAAGTTGGAGATGGAGTTACTGAGCGACAGAAATGAGGAGGGAGACCTCAGAGATGATGGATGTTGTGAAACAAGGACACGGAGATGATTGGTATAAAAGTAGATGAAGCAGATGATACGCTGTGGAGAAAACAAAGAGAACAGCTCTGTTAATTTCCTAAAGAAAACGACTCAAAATTGCATGCTTTGCATTGTATACTGCCACCTACCTAACGATACACATCCATCAAGAACCACCACTTACAACTTGTCACAAAGAAGAAAAAAAGAGCAAATAACAAAGACACAAGTCTCTGTAGATAAACGTCACTATTAGGTTTTTGGTTTTCTCAATACTGCAATACTTTTCTTCTTTTAAGCTGCTTTGTTTTTTAAGTTATATCACTGCCAGAAGTAGAACAGCAAGGACTGATGACACATATGCTTCATAATCAGACTCATATGCTGAAATAAACACACTGGCCGTTAAATATAACCAGTATTTTAACTGTGCCAGAGCGTTTACTGTAGTGCCAAAAAATGTCTTTAAAATCCAGTGACATTTTTAAAAACTTAGTAAAACCGGTCTTCAATAATTAAATGGTGTTCCTCAATCTTCTTCCACAGCAAGCATAAACCTCGGTGTTTATCGACAGTTATTGTTAACAAGTGTTGGAAATAATGGGCACCGCACAGATGACCCTCACCCATAAAGAAGAGACATATCCCTTTAAGTCCTTGTGTCACAATAAAGGGGTAAACGCCAATATTCCCATTATCCCCCAACGCAGCACCAGTCTCCACTTCAGCAAACAGCAGAGTCTCATTAGTCAGAGGCATGACAGCTGTGTGAGTGTGAGGCGGCAGAGAGGAGAGGAAACTCCAGCATGACCTGTATCACTAACTGCAGTAGGTGCAGCTCCATTCTTTCATGTTTACTGGCTCCGTCTGCAGCCTTCACTCATTACAGTGGCTCGAACCTTCCACTCACTGCAGCTTCAGGATTGTTTCAGAGGCTGGAGGTCAGCCTGTGGTGTAGACAAATCAGACTGGACTGCCATTCAATTAACATGCATGAATACATGATAGACTGTTTGTACCTTACAGAATGTACTTTCTTTGTCAATAATCAGAGCACATGATGGAAAACACTATGGAAACAGTTCTATTACTTTTGGGACAGTGGACAATTTACAGTTGACCACACATTGTCTAAGTTCCGTCTGTTGTAGGACCTGGATTTTAGGTTCTAGATTAGTCTTTGGATTCTTTAGGTATTCTGTATATTTTCTATCCGGTGAATGACGTTTTGAGTGATTGATTTACTTTTTTAAATTTAAAATTTTAAATGTTGCCTTTTTCAGAAATCAATTTTGAGCTTTTTTTTGTGTCATTATATTTATCCATCCTTATAATAATAATAATTAAATAGTCAAAAAAATTCAATAAAAATGTTACAACATTTACAATTGACAATCCATATTGTTTCTAATGAGCTCCACTGTATAATTTCTGCTTTTATTATTTTACCTAATTTTAAACGACACACTAACAACAAACAGTCTCGATGCTCAGCAGCAGCAGCAGCGGCAGCAGCAGCAGCAGCAACCGGGGCGGGGCGCGCCACCGCGCGCACAAATGGCTCAAACACTGTTTTGACATTAAAGACGGCTTCATTTAATTCATATCAGTGCCATGGTATTTTGCACTCTGGTTAAATGTCACATCTTTGACACTTTAATGTGAGTTAGACATAATTTAACGTATTAATTCTATTGGCATAATATTTGCAGTGAGTAGTGTTTTTTTCACAGATGTGGGTTACATCTGTCATAACATGACCCACGTGTTTATAAAAACACTTTGCAGAGATTTAGGATGTGTGTGACCTATTAGCAGTTTTTTAAATTAGATTTAAGCTTGATGAAAACCCTGTGTAAAGATTCTTCTCTTGTTTTTTTTTTTTGCCACTGTGACCAAAGACTTCAGAAGTCAAATTAAAAAAGAGTGCAGTAATGAGTTTTTAAAGAGTAAATTATCTTTTTTTTAATGTGTTTTGATTCTCCCTTACCTTCAGCTGCCAGGTTATGTTTGTATTTCTTAAGTTCTTATTCTAATTGTTTCAACTGAAGTCATTTAATTTGTGTTTGATTTGTTGATTATTGCATCACAGCAGGGATGTTCCTCGGCTCTCTGTGCAGTTGTGACTGATGCATACGTACATGTCTTATCAGCCTGGCTTTGTGCTCTACAATATATTTATAGTTTTAATACTGACAGAATTTATACCATTTATTTTTACCTCAAATTAGATATAGTGGACACTTTTTATGGGTTGTTTCTTACTCATTTATTTATTTTATATTAACTCATTTTCATCATCCTTTTATTGGGGCAATCATTTCTGGCATCATCCCTGCTTTATACAATACATACAAGTTTTGAATTTTTAAATTTGTACAATTTAAATGTATGGTATGTAATGTATGTTTCCCTAACTATTAGATCTCTCTTTCTCTCACTCCCTCTGTCCCCCCTCATTTTGTTCACACCATTAAGTTCCTTTTTAACACATATAGAGATGAATGTCATGTCTATTACTTGACCTTAACTGCACTTAGTCACCGTGACTTCTCCAGTCTCTATTAGAAGCTGTGGCTATGTGCATTAGGATATTACCTGAGCCCACACAGTGATGACTCACACTGAGAGGTGTCTGTAAAAGTTACCACGCAGTCATCCGGGCTTGTTGTATCCGGGAGGACAGATGTAGACAAGTGCATTTGCTTAAGTGTTCGAGAATCTTCTGGAACACTCAAACACTCACTCTCATCCCCAGCTTTATTTTTCTCCCAGAACTTGAGCATTTATTTGACAGTAATGATGAAGGTGGGCAGATGGAATATTGTGGTGCTTAAATACGGAGCGCTGCCTAAGCTACCATATTCTGACCTGTCATCTGAAGTGTGATAAAGTATTTGCTTACAAGGATGTGAGTTTCTGCCCTGTGTAAGATAAAGGCTGAATGTAAAGTGTTTGATACAACAAAGGTCAGTTCAAGGCAGCTGTGTGAAGCAGCTGCTTTGATTTGGAAGTAGTTAAAGTTGCATTCAGGACGCACTTTTTTTTTTTGTCAGACTGAATGAATTATAGTCTTATGATCCTTCGTAGAGCTGCAGAATTCTTATGATGCCAGAAATAAAATACTTAACATTATACATTTTTTGTCACCTGTCGTGGGCCTCTTAGATCAGTGATTCCCATCCACTGTGCCGTAAGAGATCAGGTGTGCTGTGGGAAATTACCCAATTTCACTTAATTGGTTTAAAAAATATTATTTATATATTTTCTTTGTTTGTCAATGCGTGGCAGGCAGCACAATTAAATACTTGTCCTCTAGGTGGCA